GGGGGAGAGGGCTAGAGAGAAGGGAGTAGGGGAGGAATGGGGAAAGCTTGGTGGCCGGGGATGGGGGGGGAGGGAGGTAGGATGAATATGGGATCAGGGAACAATATATTTCAACTAAGGGAGCCATTTTAGGGTTTACAGGAGACTTGATTATATATGGGATCCCAGGTCCAAGGAGAAATCCCCCAGATTGCTCTCTGGACAGAGGAGAGGGTGCCTGAATCGGCTGTGGCCCATGACCATACTGATGTATATTTTGCTTATCACCATAGATCCTTCGGCTGGCGAAGGACGGCTATGCAGTCGGAGGCCCACATTGGAGCAGCGGATTGAGCCCCCCGAGGTCCGGAGGGGGAGCGGAAGGAGGAGGAACATGAAAGACGAAATCAGTACTGCGAGGGATGCTATCACCCACTGATACAAGGGAACGGATCTGATGAGAATTTACCAGGGCCAGTCGGACTGGGACTGAACGAGGACGTGATCTAGCCAGATTCTCGGAATTTGGCCGGATTCTCTGACTGTGGCTGGCCCGGGGTCTTTCTGAAAAGCCATTGACTATGACACTGGGACCTGTTTCCTCTGCATATGCTGGATTTTGGGGATCCAGTCTGTTTGGACGCTCGCCTTCCTGGACCTGGAGGGAGGGGGAGGGAGCTGCAGCTTCCCACAGGGCAGGAAACCCTGACTGCCCTGGGGGACGGAGGGGAAGGGGGGGGGGAGTGGGGGGAGTGGGAGGGTGTTGGGAGGGGGGGCAGAAATGGAAACTTTTATAATTTAATAAAATTTACTAAAAAAAAAAAAAAAAAAAAAATTAGCCAATAAGAAGCTAGAGCTAATGGGTGAAGCAGTGATTTAATTGATACAGTTTCTGTGTGATTATTTTGGGGTTGAGCACCAAGAAAGCAACAAGAGTCCCCTCCTCCTACACCAGTCTATGGTCCTCAACCCAAGAGAAGCCAGGAAATAAGAAGAATCCTTAAAGAGACATACATGGATATCCCTGCAGAGGGGGAATAAACTAGATCTCCTCAGTAAATTGTGAGCATGGAAGAGGAATGGTGAAGGGTTGAAGGGGAGTGCAGAGGGATGAAGGGGAGTGGGGAAAAGAGCATGAGGGATTCTGAAGGTCAGGTTGGGGGAAGGACAGAGAAGGAGAGCAAGGAAACAGATATCTTGATAGAGGGAGATATTAAGGGATTAGCAAGAAACCTGGCACTAGGGAAATTTCCAGGAATCCACAGGATGACCCCAGCCAAAAATCTAAGCAATAGTATAGGTAGTGTTTTAACTGCCTTTTCCAATCAAAAGATAGATGATTACCTTAATTGTCATCATAGAACCATCATCTAGTAACTGATAGAAGCAGATGCAGAGATCCACAGCTAAGCACTGGACCAAGCTCCTAGAGTCCAGTCTTAAAAAAGGAGGAGCTATAATATGAGCAAAAGGGTCAAGATCATAATGAGGAAACCCACAGAAACAACCGATCCTTGCTAGTGGGAGTTCACTAACTCTGGATTGACAGCTGGGAACCTCCATAGAACCTAGCTAGGCCACTCGAATGTGGATGATAGTTGTGTGGCTTGGGCAGTTTGTGCGACCACCAGCCATGCAACCAGTATTTATCCCTAGTAATGACCATGGAGGGATACCTTGCTCACCTCAGATACAAGGGGGAGGGTCTTGGTCCTGCCTCAAGTGATTTGATAGACTTTTTTAACCCCTTTAGGAGGCCTCAACCTCTCTGAGGAGTGGGGCTGGGGGTTGAGGGAGGGGAAAGGTGGAAAGAGCAAGGGGAGGGGAAGGAGAGAGAACTGGGATTGGTATGTAAAATAAAAAGGGTTGTTTTAAAAAAAATAAAATAAGAAAAAAGAAAAAGTAATAATAAATAAACACAAGGCAAACAATATCAGAAACCATTGCAAAAACACAGACAAACAAACAACAACAAAACCCAAAAGTCATTAAACACCAAACATTTTATCCACAATGCATCCTTATTTTATAACATCTTCATCAGGAATCTATATTCCACACTTTGTTTTCACATACAAACTAATAGATAGGTATTATTTTACCGTTGGAATCAGTGTGAATGACATCCACAAACTTTGCATCAGTGTAATCCAATCTGCTAGTTGATGGTTTTCTAGAAAAATTTGGTCCAGCTGGGTCAAGACCTGAAATACAAAATAGGAAGTATCAGTCTAATAATGTTTTAGTACTTTGTTATATTTTATACCTACTGTATTGTCAATTACAAATATCATCAATTTTAGTTTAAACGTGTCTAAACCTATCTAAAGATATTAAGTTTGGCAAATGATAAGTGCCTTCATTATTTAAATATTTATTGACATCCTTTACAGGTAGTCGAAAAACAGGAGAAATGTCTCAACAGAATATTGTTAAGCTATTTTTAGCACTTTTATCTAAAGAGCAGATAGAGTAATTTATGAAACTTTGTATTTAATAGTAACAGATAGTCCTCCTAATTGAGGAAAAGAGCTAATGAATACCATCCGGACCTCTCTTGAGTTGTTCTTTTACCCACATTAATATATAAATAAATATTATTTTAACTATTGTTCACTTCATGCTCTTCTATTGTCCTATTTTATTTAGCCTAATTGACATAATACCCGACCTTTCTCTTTCTCTACATTTTTCTAAAGTGAGAAACCTGTATTTTTGGTCTTTCAGACTTTTGCAATAGTGTGGTGGCAGAACAGTAGCAAGTAAGCACATGCATCAAGATGAGTAATTCTACCTCCCCTTTCTTTTATGAAATTTTATTAAGACAATGTTATCCTTCATTAATAATTGGGATTATTACATACCAGTAACATGCATATTGATAATTGCTTAATAAACCTGATGTAGACAAACAATAGGAATCTCTGCGAGCACCATGTCATTGTTGCCTTTAACAGTTAAATTTACTGTGTGAATCTTAGTGAACATGAGAATGTTTCAAATTTGAATAGCAACTGCTGATTTGTCTGGTATTCCAATGAATGTTTAAAAGAATTAAAATCCAACAGTGCTTATAAAAATGAACTATATAGCTAATTTTTTTAGCTAATAAATAAATATTTTTTGATGGATCAATTTTTTTCAATGTAGCTTTTGACATTTAGGTAAATCTATAAAAACATAATATTTGCTTTTCATGTTTACCATTATCACTAAGGAAGAATTAACAATCCAGTAAAAAGTAATATTTGAATATATTTTGTAGCAGTGTGATATGGGATTCCCTTCTGTGTGCTGTGAATATGTTTTATTGCCATTGGTTAATAAGGAAGCTGCTTTGAGTCAATGGCTTAAGAGATTAAAGTCAGTCAGAAAATCTGAACAAAGATGTAGAGAGAAAGAGTAGGCATAGTTGAGGAGGTGCCATTTTGCTGCTGAAGAAGAGAGATGCCCCAGAACATTACCAGTAATGGGTTAATTGAAGATGTAAGAGTTAGTTAGTAAGAAGCCTGAGCTAATAGGCCAAGTAGTGTTTTAATTAATATAGTTTCTGTGTGATTATTTCAGGTCTGGGAGGCCAGGAACAAACAAGCAGCCTCTGCCAACAGAGGTGTCTTCAGGTTTTAAACAGAATAAACTCTAGGGGGAAAATGTGCTTAAATGATAATTTGACAAAAAGAAAAAAAGATAGTTTTACCTGTGATTCTTCCAAGTTGACCATGAAATAGTTTTCCTACAAAACCACTAATATGAGCCCCTAAGCTCATACCTACAAAATGAAAATTATCAAGAGATGCTCCATGGTTCTGCAATTGAAAAATACAATGCAATGATTTTAATTTTGGCAAATCAAAATTATTTCTAATATACTGACACTCTGAAGTTCATTATTGACACTGACTTCATTCATTTGTGGGACATAAATAAGGGGCTTACAACTTTGAAAAAATGATAACTTTGTTCTGCTTGCATCCTGAAATATCTCTCTTTTCATTCCAGTAACATCATTCAACTTCAACTGTGAATTTAAGTTTTAATTATCCATAATGTATAGTGATATATTTAATACTTAATTATCACATTTAATGATCAAATTAAGGCATTTAATGAACAGCAGAATACAAGTGATAGAAGAAAGAATCTCAGACACTAAAGATACTGTAGAGGAAATAAACTCACTGATTAAAGAACAAAACAAATCCAAAAAATTCTTAACACAAAACATCCAGGAAATCTGGGACACCGTGAAAAGACCAAACCTAAGAATAATAGGGGTAGAAGAAGGAGAAGAGTTACAATTCAAAGGCCCAGAAAATATATTCAACAAAATTATAGAAGAAAACTTTCCCAGTGTAAAGAAGAATAATCCTATGAAGGTACAAGAAGCATACAGAACACTAAATAGACTGGATCAAAAAAAAATCCCCTCGCCATATAATAATCAAAGCACAGAACATACAGAATAAAGAACAAATATTAAGAGCTGCAAGGGGAAAAGCTCAAGTAACATATAAAGGGAAACCTATCAGAATTACACCTGATTTCTCAATGGGAACCATGAAAACCAGAAGGTCTTGGATAGATGTGCTGCAGAAACTAAGAGACCAAGGATGCAAGCCCAGACTGCTATTTCCAGCCAAGCTATCGTTCACTATCAATGGAGCCACTGTGGAAATCAGTGTGGTGGTTTCTCAGGAAACTGAGAGTCAACCTCCCTCAGGACCCAGCAATTCCACTCTTGGGAATATACCCAAGAGATGCCCTATCATACTACAAAAGCATTTGTTCAACTATGTTCATAGCAGCACTATTGTAATAGGCAGAACCTGGAAACAACCTAGGTGCCCCTCAATAGAAGAATGGTTAAAGAAGGTGTGGAACATATACACATTAGAGTTTTACTCAGCGGCAAAAAACAAAGACATCTTGAATTTTGCATGCAAATGGATGGAAATAGAAAACACTTTACTGAGTGAGGTAACCCAGACACAAAAAGAGGAATATGGTATGTACTCACTCATAATTAGATTCTAGCTATAATTAAAGGACATTGAGCCTATATTCATGATGCTAAGGAAGCTAAATAAGAAGGTAAAGCCAAAGAAAATCATATAGCTATCCTCCTGGATATTGGAAGTAGACAAGATTGCCAGGCAAACTTGGGTGCACGGGGGTGGAGGGTGGATGTAAGGGGAGATGGGTAGAGGTGTTTCCAGGTCCAAGGAGAGGGCGCCAGATTGTTCCTCGGGCAGCAGAGGAGAGGGTGCCTGAACTGACCTTGTCCCATAGACACACTGATGAATATCTTGCATATCACCATAGAACCTTCATCTGGCGATGGATGGAGATAGAGACAGAGACCCACATTGGAGCACTGGACTTAGCTCCCAAGGTCCATATGAGGAGCAGAAGGAGGGAGAACATGAGCAAGGAAATCAGGACCACGAGGTGTGCATCCAACCACTGAGACGGTGGGACTGGTCTAATGGGAGCTCACCAAGGCCAGCTGGACTGGGAGTGATGAAGCATGGAATCAAACTGGACACTCTGAATGTGGCTGGCAATGAAAGCTGACTGAGAAGCCAAGGACAATGGCACTGGGTTTTGATTCTATTGCATGGACTGACTTTGTGGGAGCCTGGTTTGTTTGGATATTCACCTTTATAGACTTGGATGGAGGGTGGAGGACCTTGGACTTCCCACGGGGCAGAGAACCCTGACTGCTCTTAGGACTGGATAGGGAGGGAGAGGGGAGGAGGAGGAGGGAAAAGGTAGGCAGGGAGGAGGTGGAAATTTTTAATAAAAAAAAAAAAAACTAAAAAAAAAGAAAAGACACCCATTACACACCAGGAACTGAGTCTTATCAGCTCAGAATCCACCATTCCCTTGTTCTTAGTTCTCTTAGTCTGCAGGTATGGCTTTCTGTACAGAGCCAGTTTATGGTGTTTTTTTTATAGTGCCTCAAATGGAATAAGATACGAACCTGAATCAGTTTGATTATAAAATATATGCTAGCCTTCTTCTGTTTTTTCCTTCAGAGTATATCAATGACCCCTAATAGAACTGGTAAAAATATAAAAGCCACTCTTACTTTTGAAACGCTAAAATGAAGTGTTTGTATTTAAGGTGGGTTCCAGGATTGCAGGTAATGTAGAACAGAAAAAACAATCTAAAGTCAATGTGTGAACATCTGTCTGCCTCAGGTAGTCAGCTTTGTGAGTTCACTGAGCGTGTGTATCTTTTAGCAGACTCCCAGGGAGCTAATAGGAGTTGGTGATGGTCCACACTATACAGTGATGTCTGAAGGCTCATAAAACATTGTTGAACCTTCACTACTCTTGGAGAGCTAGAGGGGGACTTTGCCAGCACAAAGCAATTTTGTTCTTCAAACTCCTCAAAGCAATGTCCGCAAAGCTGAAGGGGTATTTCTCCAAACCACAAAACTATGGCTACTTTCCTCCCAGCTCCTATAAATCCTTTGTAAGCAAAATACCATGACTTTTCTTTAAATTCTCTTCCTAACTTGCACTTACTATGTTATGAAGACCCTGTTTATCAGTTAGAGACAGCTATAATTCAGGAAAAAGTCAATTATTCAGTTTTATACACTGTCAGTCTCCTTGTCAATTATTTTCTCCTCTTCTCTCTTGAGTCACAATACTTTTAAAATTGGAAATTCAAAATAATAATGCTCCTAGCAATGATGACTAAAAAATGCAATGAGATTACAGTAATGTCTACTCCCCATATAAGATCACTGATTCATACTGAATTCAGGATAGATAAGGTTTAAAAGAGCCTTAAATTTTTAATTGTTTAAAATAAAATGGTTTTTACATTAAAAAATGTAAAATTAAAATATAAAATTATTTAGAGTGACAAAATATGGCTACAAAAATCACTATGTCTAATATAAAGTCTCAAATGTTTATGGAAAAGTATTAATTTTGTGATGTCACATAGCAACTCATATATTGCGTAGCATGTATATTTTAAAAGTTTCATACTTACCAAAAGATTTTGAATGGACACACTCAAACTCGCAGCCACCATCCTGGTGTTTTTAACAGCTCTACTGTAAAGGAAAGTTGTGGCACCATGGTTCCAGTCTACGACAATGAGATTCACATCTTCCTGTTTCAAAAATGTCTCAGTAAACTTCGAGAGCCAAGCTGGGGTGGATCCCAGCGGTCTAAATCCATGAATAATCCAGACTGTTTTCTTTGACAAGTTGAAACGGGCATTAAGTGAGTTATTAGATCCAAACAGTGGTTCTGCACAGTTTGAATTGTTCCTTGAATACATCATTAGACTTATCTTTAGTTTGGGGATAAACAAATCTTTTACAGAATTCATTGCATTTAATCTTGAGAATTCAAGACATTTTTTATTAGTCTCTGCAAAGAAAGAAAAGTCAGTATGAGTATTAGGGTAATATTGCAGTTTTATTGGTACAATATTGTTCAAGTGAACAGAATTCTATTTTATTGGCACTTTAACATAATCTACTGAGCAGCTACGATGCTAAAACTTACATTGGATCAAGCAAAAAGGCTTCCTGAGCTAGAAGTAATAAAATAACAACAAATATGACCAAATGTGATAGGTTAAAAAATGACAAACACTTTTCAAATAAAATAGAAAGTGTCAGTCTGAAATCATTCCTTTTACTAATCACTTGGGAACATCAACAGTGAAGACAGATAAACTTACTGTGAATCCTCACAAAAGCTTTAGAGAAGGGTACTTACTAATTAGAAAAAACTTAAGCTCGCCAGTACCAATATTAACACAAAGCAAAATAAAATGTGTCATTTTGCTTTTAAACTTAAAATAGTGAAAAATTCCTTCCAAGGCACATAATGCCAGCACTTGGGAACATGAGGCCGAAGTACCTCGAGGACATGGTTAGCCATAGTGACATAGCAAGAGCCTTAGAAGAAGAGAAAGTGGCGAGGAAGGGAGGACAGAGAAATAGAAGAGAAATCATCCCAACGAAATGGGTGTGTGTAGATATACAAGCACATATAAGTGAACGCTGAGAAAATGCAATGATAAAATGCCGTTTTGGATGTATTTTGTATTATGTTATGTGTATATATTATACACAAGCATTGAAATTATTTATTTTATGAGATTTAAATTAATAAAATAAACAATTGCATTAATTCTAAAGTTATTAATCACAGGCTTTTGAACAGTGGCACAAAGAATAAGACATTTTTATCTACCTACTATTATCTATCTTTCTATAATCATCTGGACATCATCTATCTATTCATCTACTCGTCTGTTCATCCTAGAAAGAAAAAAGCCAGAAAATGAAATAACTGAAAATGGTCAATAGCAGTAATCATTGTAAGGCAGTGATATAATGGCTGCTTTATATTTAGCTTTTCATAGCATTCCAGAATTGTGAATTATTGAATAAGCATAAGTACAAAATATTTTAATGGGAGCATAAATTTGTACTACATCTAGAACATTAATCTGGTAATTCTATTTAGTATTTGTCAAATACTTAAAAGGTACTAGTAAGCTTCATCTCAGCGATTCAAAATTTAGAAATTGATCGCAGGAAGAAAAGAACAAAAATATTATTTTAATATTGCACATAAGATAAAACACTTATAATAATTCTAATTTAGAACATACAGATGTGTAACTGTCACAGTAATTTAGAGGAAAGAAATCAGTCAAGGAGCTATAACACTTGTGCAACATTCCCAGGTTAACAATGGATATGAGAAGACCTTTGATCCTGCATACACAGTAAGTGCCAGAGATAAAGGAAGACATAGGGAGGGACATTTAGTTCCATGGTGGCTATGAACTTCCTGTGCTGAACAAATTGTGTGAGTCATATGCATCTGCCACATTTATCACCGGGTTTGGACAAGTATGAAATATAATCAGATAATCCAAAGAGCTGCGTGGTTACAAGCCCTGATAGACTTTGCCTCATCCTAGAAGGAGTCATGGGAAATTAACTAGTAAGATCTCTTTGATTTAAATAAGGGGGAAAGACCTACATCTAAATAGTCATCAGAAAAATATAGCATCTATTACCAGGTATAGCATTAATTGCTAATTTTTTTAAAGCATTCTTATTCAGAATAGAAGAAAACAATGTCATTTCAAAAGCAACAGAAAGAAGCTATTGAGGCAAATTTTAGAAGTTATAAAAAACAGGATCAGTTAAAGGACAATTGAAACTCCAGTTAAGGAAAAATACAATTGTGTAATAAACATTCAAATTATAAAATCATATCAGATATGGAAATTTCTTTCTGCAGGAACACATAATAGAGGAGGTGTTAACATTATGATGAGAATGAAGACAAAGAGTGGGGAGAAATTTAAACAAATTTAAATGTGCCACTGTTCCTTGATGAGAGTTACTTGGTGGGAGAAGAGAGAAGGCCTGTTTCATTAACTAAGGACATAATTGTAAGGCATGGTTTGCAAACTCAACAAACTCCCCAAAATGTAGAGAAAAATCACTCAATCAGACTCACCAAGATTTTTATACCCTCCATAGAGTTTCGATGGCAAATTTAAATATCCTAAAATATCAAGACAGAAAACTCAGGTTACAAAGAGAATGGTGATGAAATCAATCTTTCCTGTTAAAACAATTCATTAGACGGATAGAATTAAAGAGAATGAGAAGATTTTAAATGGGAATAATTGGGCACTAACAATCTTAGGCCTTATTCTAAAAGTTACTATTTACAAGTGATTGTTACACTCATTGATACCGTGTGTGTGTGTGTGTGTGTGTGTGTGTGTGTACATGGAGTGTGCACATAAATGTATTGGCACATACCCCTGTGTGCATTCTTGAGAACACCATTGCAAAGCACCAGAAACCTTTCTTTTCTACCCTCAATGTGACTGCCTTGTGACAGGATGGCTCACAAACCCACAAGCTAGTCATTTTCACTAAATTAACAGTCAAGGGAACTTTAAAGGTCCACTTGTCTCTGGCTGTTCACGCTGATGCTATAGACACTCACAGGTCTTCCCACCTGTTTTCATGGGCACTGACACATTTAGTCAGGGTATGGCCACCTAGAGCCCAGGTAGAAAAACCTAGGGACTCAGGTGCATGCTGTCTTCGCGGTGCCCACCGGACCTTTTGGATTTCGGAACTCCCATTCTTATAGTGTAAGCTTCCCCTCTTTATCCATTCAAGTATTTCTGTTACCCTTGAGCTACTCTGGTTCCTTATCATACCAACCTAATTCGCGACACTTGGCACCCTGCAGTAATCTTTGAAGTTTCCAGGAAGAAGATGGGGCCCTACAACAACAACTCCACCTGGTTAATATGACATCATGATGTTGATAGCACTATTACAAGACCTGTTTTGGGTACCAGCTGCACAAGACGGATCCGACTTGGTTAGCTGAAACGGTGCACATCTTTTGCAACATTCTGGCCAGACTATTTGCAATTTTACCAGACAAAATATTAATCTTGGAATTTAACCATCATTTACTTTCACAGTATCCCCTAGGAAGAACATCACCCCCATAACAGCTGGAAGCAATTTTAGAGGACGACGTCCCCTCTGTTATGATTTTTTAAAAATGCTACAAGATCCCCGGCAGCAGTAGGCAGCAGAAATGCTGTAGGTCCCTGAATGGTTGTAGCAGGCCATGTGGAGGCAGGCAGCAAACCCTGGGAGCAGCCACCCGACAGAGACTGGAGACAGCTGCTGGTCCCTGAGCGGTGGCTGGTTCCAGGCAGGGAGACACATGGCGGGTGGGCAGAAGACAGAAACATGGATGGACACGACATGTAGAATGAGGTTAAATATTTATTCAGGGAGCTATGGAGGGGAAGGCAAAAGGGGAGAAGGGAGGTGAGGGGGAAGGGAGAGAGAAAGAGAGAGAGAGAGAGAGAGAGAGAGAGAGAGAGAGAGAGAGAAAGAGAGAGAGGAAGAGCGAGACAGAAAAGGGAGGGAAGCAGAAAAGTCGGGAGAGAGGCAAAAGCGAAGCTGCCTGTCCAAGAGGAAGATGAAAAAGAGAGCGAGCTCAGGTGGGAAGCAGAAGATCAGCCTGCCTCAGCAGATGGGGGAGGAAGTGGGCGTGACTTGTACGAACAATCATAACACCCTCTCCCAACAAAGTTTGCCCTCAGGTTTAGGGACATCATTTAGGGATTGGTTATAATTGGTATATGGTTGTGGGATGGGGGAGGAATTTTATAGGCTCAGGGATCTTCTTGGAAAAAAAAGAGGAATAATTGGATGATGGGATAATAGATTGGTATTTGTGACATTGTTTTTAGACAATTATATTGGTATCGATTCTTGTATATTGATACAAAGTTAAATTATATTGAATATTGTATGCTTCTACCTCTGTTTGAAACATTATGCATTGACATATATATTTACCATATTGCAGTGTACACTACTACCTCTGATCAAGATACTTCTACATTGTTTACATTTGAAGGTCATTGTTCTTATTTATTACACAGTTGTTTATTGTCTTAGTCTTTAAGTTAGATAGGTATTGAGAATTATAGATCAATAGTCATCTATGTTTGTTATATTTATATTTAGGCTATGCTCTTTAGATACATGGAGATTATATTCAGTATAGATAGATAGTCTTCAACCTCTTCAAGGAGCTGTAGAAAATGGCCTTTAATCTAACTTAGAGTTCCGTGGTAATGAGACATAATCACTCCTGACAACACCGATCTATTCCCAAGAGAATATTGAGCACCAAAGACAATCACCTGGAGCCTTTCTTCTTGACAGAGCTGGCCGTTGGGCAAAGAAATGCCCATAACTCAACCACTGACAGAGATACAAAGTATCCGTAAATGGGTAAAACAGGACTGTCATATCCTGATAAGAGAGGGTAAGATAGTTTTGAAAAGTTTCTTGCCTTTGAAAATGGTATGTCAGTTATGTTAGGCCTTAGCCAAAGTTGGCTGCTTCAACATTGCAAATGAGACTTTGAGTGATTGCCCAGGTAGTCAGTTGTCTCTGTCATTTGTTGCACAATTGGAAAGTTTCTCAATTACACTTCCTGTTTACTCAAGTAATATTGCTTCCCTTCTTAGATTTTTGATGGAGTTAAAGACTAGATAATTGTAGTTACCTTCTTCATGATTTAGCCAAACTTAATTTCAATGCATTATTTAGACTCCTAGAAATAGAATGTTTAGTAAAACTTTTGTCATGTGTTCCTTGCTTAATATTGTTTACTGTTTGTAATTTTATATTTGATATCTGTTCCTATTTTATATGGTTGTATTGGGTTTGGGTTGATCTTGATTAGACAAAGGGGGGGGATGATGGGGAAACTATCAACTGATAGTTTCAACCAATCACATCTAGTTAGGATGTGGCCACCTAGAGCCCAGGTAGAATAACCTGGGGATGCAGGTTCATGCTCTCTTCACGGTGCCGGCCGGACCTATTGGATTTCGGAACTCCCATTCTTGTAGTTTCCCCTCTTTTACCTTTAAAGTATTCCTGTTACTCTTGAGCTAGCCTGGTTACTTATCATACTGACCTAATTTGCAACAGAGGATTCTAACTCAGATCCTAATGCTTTCAAATTAAGGATCATTACCCATTGAATTGTCTCCCCAGGCCTGATGTTGTCATTCTTTAGTAATATCTTAGATTAATAAAGACATAATTCATAAAAATTTATTTAAAATACTGAGAGTGATTATGAAAACAGATATTAATTTAACTTTGAATATTATATGGCAGAATTTCATAGAAAGTTAACATCACAAGTCATTCTTTTACTCTTGTCCATCCAACTCTTTTTACTCCGAAGAATGTAAATGAGAAGTATAGAAAATTAGTCCTCAATTGAAGGTACCACAAGATTTCTGTTTTTAACTCCAAAAATTGAAAGTACCTTAAAATCTGGGAGAAAATGTACCTTAATAATTAGGAGAGAGAGAGAAAGGGCAGAGGGAGAGAAAGAGAGAGAGAGAGAGAGAGAGATTCAGAGGGGAGAGGGAATTAACATGTAAGACTAGGTAATGCTATCAAATTTCAATGGATGCAAGATAGGGAGAAATTAAGTTAGTTCTATGTTTATTTTCTCCCTGCTGACTCAATTTCATAGTGACAGGCAGTGCTGTACAGTTGCTTAAGAAGAAAAGGAGCCTTTGACATTCGTTACCCCATTGTGAGCTCTCTGAACAACAAAACCAATCCACCAGGAAAAATATATTCGCTTGGTGCAATCATAGCTTAACTGTTATGGGGGTAAAAGACTGTTCTCTCTAACTAGATTGAAGGAATTCATGCCTAAAATATAAACACAATACAAAATCTACAGGCCCAATCCTTGGGCTCTAGACGGGATCTTACCACAGTTGTTTGCAAAAATTGACAGGGTGGTTTCCAAACATCTATATTTATACCTAAAAGCTAATGCTACTCCAAAATTCAATCCGAAGTACAGCTCACAGCACTTAGAATAAGTGATGGTTGAGTGCTTAGGCATAAATAGATCATTTACCTCATCCCTTAATATGCAGGAAACAATAAGGAAAAGCAGATGGGTAGAATATAAGTCAAGAGGATAGTGAGAAGGGCTATGAAATACTGTTTTCAGGACATGCCACATCCAAGGTAACCATGCTGTGACCACAGAGGATTCAGCCTCCAAGGAGCCTGCTCTCAACTCACCTGTCAACAGTCAAGCATGGGTTAGAGGATCCTACCACTCCCTACTGAACGATGTCTGGACAGAGGCAGACATTTCCTTTACTTACATACCCATTGATGAACTCACCAGGCTCTGATAGATAGCTACAAACACATGTTCAAAGAAAAAGAGAAAAATAAATTTTATTTTACCTAATGAAACGGGATTGTTTCCTAAGTTGCATTAACAAGAATAGTAATATTCAGTATACGTATACCTGTAAAGCATGTGTCTAAAAACTATATATAAATGTAAAAGTATGTGTGGACTATGCATATAAAAAGACAAAATAGCAGTCATTTTCAACTTGGCAAACGAAATGAAGGTGTTTCATAGAAATCCAATATAACAGCAAAGTATAAAAGAAAAGATACATCATTAGCCATCCAAAATATGGAAATTAAAAAATAAGCCATACACACACACACACTAAAATGGTAAATGATAAAGACTAGTGGCCAGGGGAACATTATTGAGAATATAAAGCTATTTAGACTGTAGAAGGACATGGGAAAATGATACAATAATTTAGAAAACAGGTTGATAAAATTCTTACAGTGAAAATATGCACCTTTTTGGACCCTGACAATTCATATCTAGATGTTAACACTGACAACTGAAAACGTGTCCTCATAAAAGTATATCCAAGTTGATAGTACCTTGCTTTCCATAACAAACTAGTTTTGAAAGAACAGACAAGCCAATCAAAAAACACATGAATAACTGAGTTGTAGTCTGTGTAATTCATTACATCCCAATCAATAAATAGTAGTAAAGTACTACAATATAGATAATCATAGTAAAAAATATTATGTCAAGAAGAAGATATAAAAGGCTAGAAAATGAAAGCAATCATTTATATA